GCTTTTTTTGGCCTTTTTTGTTTTTAAAAACCGAGGACCCCCCCCCCAAAAGCCGGAAAAAAAAAAAAAAAAAAAAAAAAGAAAACACAACACAACCCATCGACCATCCAATCAGTGGGGAGCTGCTGGCTTGCCTGGCCGAGACCGGCTCATCAAAGCAATAGAGAACAAACAACAAGGGGAAAGGGAGGGCTTGACAGAGTGGAACGCCTCAGAAACACAGATAGACCAAGAGACAAAGTCAGGATGGGGTGGAGGGGGGCGGGGGGCGAGGATGGGAAGGGGGTAAAGACAAGAAAGGGATAAGAGAAATGTCGACAGCAGCAGGCTCATCACACACAAATCAATAGCTGGTTGTGCTGAATCACAGTGAGGCCTCAGCTGGCACAAACAGGTAAAGTCCGGGTCCCTCGATATCCATCCATGTCAGCTGGGGACTACAGGATGCATGTGCTGAAATCTCAGCTCCGCCCTCTATATTATAGCTCTTGCACCCGCTTTTCCTCCGTGTTTGCTCAGGCAAAAGTGCTGTGTGCGAGTGGAACGGCGTTCTCCAAGAACAGACTTGTCAAGAGTCACATGGCTCTCGGATCCCCGCTGTGAGCGTGATTGTGGTGTGTATGTCATGGGAAGTCTCACATCTCCAGGGATTCCTGTGGGATTGTCACAACACCTCTCAGGGTTGCCCGTCAACAGAGGGAAAAAGTGAGAGGAAGGAGGAGAAATTGACCCCAAAAAAATTAAACAATAAACTAAAATAAGTATCTGGTTAAAAAGAAAAGGGAAGAAAGAACCATTAGCAGCAGCAGACGGCCCTGCACCTTGGCACCGGCACGGTCAGCATCACCATCCACACGGATCATTTATCATCTCACGCCAAGATCAAACTGGACAAACAACCTCCAAGACCAGGAGAGTGTGAGCCAATTTCATTGGAGAAGGGTGAGGACAGGAAAGCAAGACTGCAAATCCTGTGAAACTGTGTTAGTTGGGACACGTCATGTCCCCTCCCCCCAACTGTGAGTGCAGTCATTACTTCCAAGGTTAGAACAGGGAGGAACTGACTTAATGACTATTGCTAGCATCCAGAACTTTCATCCAGTAGGACCCAGCTGTGGAGGAAGTTGA